TTATTTATTATTTATAGGGTTCATTTTTCCCTCTCTCAGAGATGGCCAAAGGATTGTAAAGAGAACTTTTCTTCCCCAGGAGTTTTCACACGCAGATTCCATGTGGTTCCTGCTTGTCATTCTTACCTTTGATTGACTCTTACTATTTCAGCATGTTTTAGCAGGAAGCAAAGGTTTAATCAAGTCTTATTTTGAAGAGGTTATTTCTTTGCTTAATGGTGTAAGGTGCCCATACGCTGGTATGATGTATGTTTAGCTGCCACAGTGAGAGAAGCCTTAAAAACAAATGAGCAGATGACAGAAGAGATGAAGATGATACATTATAAATATACATACCAAAATGAAAAGAACAGATAAAATAAATATTAGGATTAGAAAACACTGAATTTTGTAATGTTCCCTAAACAGTTTATTTAGGGCATTCAGCAATCATACTTAGTACTACGACATTCATGAAAAATAAAGATCCCTTTGACAAAATAGCCTAATGTATTTTTAGTGCATAAAATATGCAGTCAAAAATATATCAACAACCGTGGGAAAACTGTTTCCTGAACTTGGTGATAGAGACCATTGATGAGGAAAGTGCTGTAAATGGATACATTGCTAAAAATTGGCTTTCTTGAAATCTCATACCTATATACTGCTTCATTCTGTGAAATGTTTATCCCTGTCTCTGCAAATCTGTTTAGAATGGAAATAATTCTTATGACCTCGCAGTGCTAGGTGATGCACAAATACATAGAAGGGCCTGGTCCGTGCTCTGAAGAGCTTACAAGTTCATTTCCTAAATTATTTTCTTGTGATAAGTTGGAAGGAAATTCAAGGTGGCTGCTTCTCCGGTTTGACTCTGTACTTTCTGAATCATTAAGTGACTTCTAGTTCTAGAAATTAGAAACCTTTTTGAATATACTTGTTGGATATGTGTGTTACCCAGAGGTGAAAGTAAGCCGGTACGCCCCGGTATGGCGTACCGGCAAGAGCCGATGCGCCGTACTGGGGCAGATCGGCTTCCCCAGGCAGAAATTTAAAGGGCCTGGGGCTCCCAGCAGCGGCTTGAGTCCCAGGCCCTTTAAATTGCTGCCAGAGCCCTGCTGCCAGAGCCCTGGGGAAGTGGCGGAGGGGCTTGGGCGGCAATTTAAAGGGCCCGGGGCGCCTGCCGCAGCTACCACCCAGGGCCCTTTAAATCATCCCCAGAGCCCTGGGGTAGCTGTGGCGGGGCTCCGGCGGCTAGTTAAAGGATCCAGAGCTGTGGCAGCCGCTACCGCCCTGGCCCTTAAAATAGCTGTCGGAGCCCCACTGCCGTCTCCCCAGGCTCCGGCAGCAGGGCTGATTTGAAGGGTCCGGGGCTCCGATAGCTGCTGCCGCCCCAGGCCCTTTAAATTGTCCCCGGAGCCTGCCGGAGCCCTGGGGTAGCGGCAGCGGGGCTCAGGCAGCGATTTAAAGGGCCAAGGGCTCGGCCGCCGCTACCACCCCAAGCCCTTTAACTTGCCGCCGGAGCACTGCTACCCTCTCAGGTGGTGATTTAAAGGGCTCGGGGCTCCCACTGCCGCTACCCTCTGGGGCCCTTTAAATTGCCACCCGAGCCCCACTGCTGGAGCCCTGGGGTAGCGGCGGGCCCTTTAAAGCTCTGCCAGAAGCTGGGGCCCCCTCCGATGGTGATTTAAAGGGCCCGGGGCTCCGCTGCGGTAGCAGCAGCTGGAGCCCCAGGCCCTTTAAATCACCCCCAGGACTCCCAGCCTCTGCAGCTGGTAGCTCTGGGGATGATTTAAAGGGCCCGGGGCTCCCAGCTGCCGCTACCACAGCCCCAGCCCCGGGCCCTTTAAATCCTGATTTAAGTGCCTGGGGATTTAAAGGCCCCGCCTCTTCCGGTAGAGGCCACGTCCCCTCCTAAGGACTCCGGAATACCGGTAAGTCCTTTAAGTTACCCAATAGATACATGGATAGTTAAAATTCCCTGTGAGAATAGAATTCTTCAGCTTAGATGGCCTTGATACTTGATCCAGGAATTTTTTTCTTTCTTGTTCTCTTTTCCTTCTGCTCTATAGCAGATGCCCACAATTGTCTCCTTTGTTGGGGGAATTCAAGTAAGTTTCTTTTAATCAGAAGTTTTAGAATAATGGGATTGCCCTGGACTAACAGTCATGGTGCCATTTTCTTTTACTCCATCAGACTGCTTCTGCTTCAGTATTAGAGCATCCTTCTGAAGACAGCCTTTTTATTACTTCTGTTAGTACTGTGTGCATGATTACAGCACACTCCTGATTTCATGAACAAATGGCTTTTCTATCTTGGTTACATAAGGAAATGGAGTACCATTTTAAGGATCTTCAAGTTTATTAGAATATGTTCAGTAAAATGTCTAAATGGCCCCAAGAAAAGAGCTGGACTAGGAAGGCTTTAGTGTGTGTAGTAAAGACAGAATTCTGCAAGCAGAAATCTTTTAGCCAGATGTTCATATTTAGACTTTTTTTTTCCCCTATACCATTATCACTGTGAGTGGGATTTTAGGTGGAAAATTGAGGACAGTGGTATTTATAGAACTGGAAAGAACCTATGGAGATGCCTCTTAATGAAGCTGAGAGCAGATTGAGAATACTGAGTTACGTCTTTTATTATGAAAGAAGTTGCCTAACAGCAGCATTATAATAAAAAAAATTGACTTTGACACCACATACCAACACAACATATATTTAAACCTTCAGAAGTCTCAAATCCAACTCATTGACATCAGTGCATGCCTGCTTTCAGCTCCAGGCCACGTAGCCTCATGCACGTACATAACTGCATGCCAGATTTCACCTTCGCTATCTACAGGTGTGGCTCCATTTGGTATATCATCCTTTTAGACACCCCTTGGGCATGCAGCTTTGTGTACCTGCATGAGTGTTTCAGTCTCTCAACTGGTGCTAGAACCCCAAACAATGTGCACAAAGAAGTGCCATTTTTGTCCCCAGAACCAGCTATGATTCTGGAAAGTTGTCTATTAAAGTTTGGGGAGTCCATCTCAGCCAACTACAGACAAAACCTCTTTGGTCACCTCAGGAAGTTTCACCTCCACATAAACGTATTAGAGCTCCAAACTATTCTTCGGGTCTGCAAAATGTTTGTCCAGCATCAGGAACCAGGTGGTACAAGTTCTTACATAGAACACCACTATCTTGTTCTATCTGAACAAGCAGGGAGGTGCAAAATAGCTTCAACTGTACCAAGAAGCTATTCTTTTATGGAATTTATGCATTTATCTCAGTGTTTCCCTGAAGGCTTTTCATGAGTGGTCAGTCAGGAAGGATGTTCTGCTTCAGATCTTCTACCACAGGGGGTACCAAGCAATAGGCTTGTTTGCAACCAACCTGAATAACAAGTGCATAATATTTTGCTCCAGGACAGGCCACTGTCTGGGTTCCATCACAGCTGCCTTTCTTCTTCCATGGTCCATTCATCTCCTATGTCTGGTTGAGTTCCTCTTATTCTGAAGGTACTCAGGAAGCCGAAAAGAGACAAACAAATATTAATCCTTATTGCATCAGTATGGCCAAGAAAATATTGGTTCATGGACCTATATCAGCTTTCTGTCTGGTCACCGATAACTTTACCACTGATGGAGTATCTTCTGTCTAAAAACCAAGGCAAGATTCTCCATCCCAACCTCCAATGTCTCCATCTTACAGCATAGATAATTTCTGGTTGAATTCCCATGAGAAATTGTGCTCCTGAGGGGTTCAGACATGTTGGTGAATAGCAGAAAATAATTCACTAGACAAAGAGCAACATGCTCCACAAAATGGAAGAGATTTTTGATCTGGGTGCAATCTCAACATATATCGCCCCATCTCACGGCAGTTGCAGATGTGCTGGACTATTTGTTTCCCCTGAAATCATCAGGCCTTTTGATTAGTTCCGTGAGAGTTCACCTGGCTTCCATTTCTGTGCTACATTCACCAGTGATGGGTTTTCCATTTTCTCTCACCCTCTTGTTTCCAATTCTTGAAAGGTCTAGTCACTATTGTTATTGTCTATGAAGATGGCTTTTCTGGTGGCGATTGCTTCTACTAGGATGGTTTCAGAACTTCATGTCCTTCTGGCTTGTGCTCCTTTTGTGGGTTTCCATAAAGGCAAAGGTTTCCCTTAGACCACACCCTAAGTTTATGCCTGAAGCAAACTCTTCATTTGCCAGTGTTTTTCCCCCCAAAGCCCCATTCTTCTAAAGCTAAAGAAATACTTCATGTTTGTGGAGCAATGCTCCAGTAGCTGATATCTGCAAGGAAGTGACATGGTCGCTTGTACATCCTTGTTCTGCTTACTAGACCATCAGTCAGGCCTCTCGAAATGATGCAACTTTGGCAAGTTGGTGCTATAGTCTCTGTTCAGATGATTCAAAGTCCCTCCACCTACAAGGGAACTGCTGATGAGTCACCACCTGCTGTGTAATGTATATGTGCACAATCACTCAGAGTTTAAAAAAAAAGTTACTTATGCATACAGTAACTGTGGTTCTTCAACCTACATTTTACATTGCACATACATACATTCCACGACCCTCCCAACTTCCCTGCTACACTGAACATTACATATGGCAGTGCGAAGGAACAATGGGGGAAGTGGTGACCACGCCTCTTTTATGCCCTTGCCTGAGAGCATGAGAAGAGCAGGAACACATGTGTCTCCTAGTTGTACTTCAGGCAGAAATCCGACTCAAGTGCATTGGGCACACAAACACCTGCTGTGGAATGTATATGTGCACAACATATTGAAGAACAACAGTTACCGTGCATATAAATAACCGTTTTTACCCTCATTTTAACCTGCCTCATGAATTCTTTAAGGCAATCTGAACACAACACCCCTACCTGTGTAGAGACTGCTGTTACTTAGCCATTTGAATTAGTTGTACCTTTGACCTAATGTTCTTATACAGAATAATCGTTTTGTTTTCACCTTTATCGGTATTTACTGCTGTTTTTTAATCATTAACATGGAATACGTTATTTCTATTTTAGTCCTCCTCGACCTCTGACAAACATGAACGACACCGTGGTTACCCATATGTCCTCCGGAGCACCCACTCCAACAAAAAGGTAGCTATACCTCACTAAATTTACTGTTTACATCTTTGCAAGCGGTATAAATAGAATGAAGTTTGCGTCACTGTTCGTGTTCTGACTTGTTTCAAACGCTACTGCAGCTGCTCCGAGTGTGTCTGAGGTTCATAAAAAAAGGCTTGATTGCCGCTGCTGCTTTTTGATCTCTTTTTAAAGAGCTATTTTCTTGTACTGAATAATTTTTACTACAGAAATATGACTGAACTCGCTGGTGCTAAAGTTTTAGAGAGGGTATTTCCTCCAAAGCCGTTCAGAAAGACCGGTCTTGCTGTTTTATTGGCTTTGTTAATGCCTGTTCTTCACACAAAGTAGAAACCAATTGCGTAGTTGCTTTTGAGATTCCTGAGACCTGATCTACATGGGGTGGTTAATTCATATTGCGTGTGACCCACAGTGGTTAGTGCGCAATATGTGAGCTGTACTAATAGTGTGCACACAGGACAACTATGCACTACGGAGCAGATGATGTGGCTGTACCAGTGGCTCCTCCAGCAGCAGCAGAGGAGGAGGACAAGGAAGACGAGGAGGACACCGAGCAACTGCTATTTCACAAGCTCTTCTTGGAGCAGCTTCACAGCACTGTTTTGGGGCTTGGGAAATCAGCATCAGTTGATGAGAGAAGAAAGTTCTGCAGACCTGGAATGTTCAGCAGAATTTGGTGACAGAATTTCAGGATGGTTGTGATGGGGCATCTGGCCTATAAAGGGTTATTAGAGCCCAAGGGAGACTGCACAAAAGGAGCGAGGAGCAGCCAATTAAGGCCAGGTTGGCCCATACAAGAAGGACTGCAGAGCAGAGCCGCTTCAGTCACTCCCTGGAGCTTGAGTGAGGGAGGGAGGGAGGACTGGCTGCCTTGCAGGCTGAAGGCAGCAAGCACCCTGGACAGAGCAGTGCTACAGGCAGAGACTGGGGGAACTAAAGACAGCCCCTGGCGGGCTGCAGGGATCTACAGGCCGAGACCCTGAAGCAAGGGCAAATAGGGTGCTGAGGCCACAGGGAAATGGCGCAGGGAAATCTACTGAGGAGTCGGAGGGGATGCAGCAAGTGGCAGCCATCTACAGAATCCCTGGGCCGGGACCTGGAGTAGTACATGAGCCCGGGTTTCTCCCCTCCCACCTTGCCACTGAAGAAGTGGCCAATTGGCTGCAGTAGCCACTGAGGGAAGTGGCTGGACAGCGGACTGTGATACTGTCCCCTGGAAGTGGGGGAGCACAGAGTGCGGCGCAGCCGGAGGGCTGTGTCCTAAAGAGGACGCTGCAGTCCTTGGAGTGACGTGGGTCCTGGAGCAGAAGTGACGGTGGCTGGACAGCACCAGAAGAGGGTGCACTGGTGAACAGAGCTAATCCCCAGGACAGCCAGCAGGAGGCGCCACAGTGGTGAGTGAACCCCATCACAATGGTGAAGACAACCTGAGATCAGTGCTGAACTAGCCCTGGAGCCGCAGCAGCCCCAGACCAGCAGGCAGTGCCCCACACCCATTGAGAAGCGTGTCACCATTGCCATCTGGAAGCCAACCACCCCCAAATGTTACCAGTCTATAGCCAGCCAATTTGGCATTGGGAGATCACTGGTGCGTCCATTGTGAGGCAGGTGTGTGATGTCATGCGTAAGGTACCATTGTATTGGTTTTTAAAGCTTGGTGATGCTCAGGAGATTTTTTGATGGCATTGCATGCATGGGGTTCCCAAACTGGGTTGGGGTAATTGATGGGACCCATGTCCCTATTTTTTGCCCCTCACACCAGGGCTCAGAGTTTATAAACAGAAAGGAGTATTTCTACATGGTTGCTCCGAGGCCTGGTTGACCACCATGACATGTTCACAATGCAGGGTGGTGTAGAAAGGTCCCAATGCTAGGATCTTTGAGAGTGCTGCTCTGTTTACCTTAAAGAATAAAGGAGACTTTTCCCCCAGGACCACTATGAACATTAATGGTGTGGAGAATCCTCTGGTTATCCTGGGAGACCCGGTTTATCCTCTGCTTCCCTGGCTAATGAAGCAATTCACAGACCACTTGCACAGGAGGAAGGAACTGTTTAACTAGTGCCTCAGTATGACAGTGGAGTATGTATTTGGCGATCTGAAGAGAAGGTTTCAGAATAGTAGCCATGTTGGTCAGTATCAGCAAAAACAACGAGGAGTCCTCGTGGCACCTTAGACTCTAACAAATTTATTTGGGCATAAGCTTTCGTGGGCTAAAGCCCACTTCATCAGATGCATGGAGTGGAAGAAGGTGGCTCTCTTTATGGGCTAACTTGCCTAGGATTATAGCTACATGTTGTATTTTGCAAAATAGCTGTGAGAGTAAAGGAGAATGAGTGGCGGAGACTTGCTCAGCGGTTTAAGCAGCCAGTTGAAAATGGAAACAGCCATGGCAATACTATCAGGGATGCATATTGCTCTTACTTTGAGTCTCAGGCCTGACAATGTGCAGCTGTACATCTAGCTATTATCCCAGGGAGTAGTGGGGAGAATGGATTGTGAGCATTGGAGTGTCTTTTATGGGTGGTAGAAGTGGCACATTATGGCACTCCTTATTTTATCATGTCTGTGCTTTTATACTTTTAGAAAAACCTATGACATGCAAAATTTCCGTTTTTTTCTGTGTACCATGCTGTCACTGATCCCCAGCATGCCCCAGCTTTTAAACAGTCCCTTGGAGGAACCACTTCAGTATGCCAGACCCCCATGGGGCCCAACTCTTCCTTTAGGGTAGGACATAGCCTCAATGCCTCTGAGACTGAGCTTCTGGGCTCCGGTACTCCTGCTTTGTACAGTGAGCTCTGCCCGGGCGTCCAGGGATCAATGCACCTCCACAAGGAGGTTCAGTGTTACCAGGCAGCCTTTTCAAAACAGAGCAGGATTTATCAGCCAGCTGGAACACAGCTCCGGGAAGTGGCAGAGAAATAAACGTTAAGATGTAGTCCATTCTGGCCAAGCAAGCTCTCCTCACAGCTACGCTACCGTGGAATCCATTTTTGGCTCTCTCTCCCTCTCTCTTTGGCAATCCCTCGTGAGAGCTGCTGTCTCTCTCCCAAAAGCCTCTTATCCCAGCCACATGACACCTTTCTGCTGAGTTCACGCGTCCTGCCTGCTGGAGTTTCCCATGTATAAGTGTCAGTTGTTCAGTCCTTACGTCTCCCATTGTCTTTGAGGACCCTCCATCAATATGGGTCAGTTTCAGTCAGTGCTTGCTTAATGATGCATTCATTCCATCCCAATCAGTAATGTAAGACAATACCGTATGTTTCCCGCTCTGCCCCAAGAGCAGCTTTTTAACCTTTTCCACCCACTCGGTAGCAATGCAAAGTACAGAGGGAAACTAAGGCTCACATAGGAATCACAGAAAATTCCCACTTTGTCACACATGCATTGCCAAGTCCTTTTGGATGAATTTTAAAGGTTTTTATTATTAAAAACAATTTGTTATGTAACAACCAAAAATAATTTTTTAATTAAAATAACAATGAAACACAGCTTTGAAGTGGCACCGTGCAGGGGAAGGCAGCACACAACAACAGCAGGCTCCAATTCACAGGTGAATATACATCTTGCCTCTGTCTCTTCTTGTTCTTCTGCCTTCTGGTGTCGAGGCTCAAAGTTCCAGATGTGTTTCATGGCACGAAAGAGCTGGGCTCTCAGGGGCAATTGTTCTTGCTGCCCTGAGCTTCAGCTGGGGAGAGGAATGGTATCTGGTAGCACAGCTGCAAGGTTTCATTGGGGGAACATATGCTGGTGTTCCCAGTACTCTGTATTGTCCAGGGGTTGCAGAACATGGCTGGGTCCTGGCTGAGGGCACTGGAATGTCTGTGTGCTGCAACAGAGCATTCTGAGTCTACGTTGCTTCCAGGAGTTGCCACTGCATCTCCCTGTCTTTCTCTACAGTGACTTTTGCCATGGCCACGCTGTCTCTGGCCACTGCAACACTTTCTCTGGTATTTCTCAGAGCCAATCTCCAGCTTGCTATTGTTTTCCAGTTCTTTCCCCTCAGCTTAGCAAGCTGCTCAGACTTTGATAAAGGCCTTGTCTTTGAGGGTCTGGCCACGGCAGGCACTGTGGCTGCAGGAGTAGGGAAGAAAAAACAAGGAGTTATTGTTCATATGAAACACATGAGGTGAGCAGCCTTCAGTAGTCAAAGAACTGGTTAAGGACTATTTAGAAAAGCTGGATGTGCACAAGTCCATGGGGCCGGATGCGCTGCATCCGAGGGTGCTGAGGGAGTTGGCTGATGTGATTGCACAGCCATTGGCCATGATCTTTGAAAATTCATGGCGATCAGGGGAGGTCCCGGATGATTGGAAAAAGACAAATATAGTGCCCATATTTAAAAAAGAGCAGAAAGAGAACCCGGGGAACTACAGACCAGTCAGCCTCACTTCAGTCCCTGGCAAAATCATGGAGCATGTCCTCAAGGAATCCATTTTGAAGCACTTGGAGGAGAGGAAGGTGATCAGGAACAGTCAACATGGATTCACCAAGGGCAAGTCATGCCTGACCAGCCTGATTGCCTTCTATGAGGAGATAACTGGCTCTGTGGATGAGGGGAAAGCAGTGGATGTGATATATCTTGATTTTAGCAAAGCTTTTGATACGGTCTCCCACAGTATTCTTGCCAGCAAGTTAAAAAAGTACGGATTGCATGAATGGACTATAAGTTGATGTGGCAGAGCTCTAACCCTGTCCCTGTGGATTCCACGCTTCCAGGCGGTTTATGCTATCCTCAGTGGCTCACTGTGACCCTCCACGTAGCCCTTCTCTCTCTAGGGCCAGGGTTACAGTCTGCTGAGCCCTTTTCATCATAAGCCAGGAAGGAGATTGGTGAGAGAACTCCCACAGTCTCTGTCGTCCCTACGGGCTTAGTCCAGAACAGTTTAGCCTCCTTTCCTGACAGGGGCCTGTCTTCCCCTCCCAGGAGGTGTTTCTGTAGTGGCGGGTTGGGGGGAACCCGGGCCCACCCTCTACTCCGGGTTCCGGCCC